CCCTTAGTGAGCGCAGGTACCTACTGAGTGTGAGTGCTGAGCGATTAGGAGGATTGAGTGATTGTGATGACTGAGTGAAATGATACTCTGAGAGTATGCATATGATTTTATCACTGAGTTGCATCGCATTGACATGCACACATGACATACATGCATAAAGATGTATTTTTCTCTTGATGTACAGTATCACATCATTCATAATTTCTCACACGTGTTGACATATGGGTATAGTGATGCATTTGTTTTACACGGGTTATCTGGAAAGAAAATGAAACATCTCATTTATTATTGAAAAGATTTTGGGAAAATTATTGCTTTCAAACTTATTCATATTTTTTTGGAAATTTCGGGAAACGATTTGGGTTTTTCACTGATGTACTTGAAAGGAAGAACTTTTTTTAGAAATCGTGATTTAGCTGAGTATTTTATTTCTGAGTTACTTCTTATATTATTGGCTTTACGTTGTTATGGACTGTGGTGAACTATTGGTTTTGGACCCGACCTTGGTAAAAGGTTGTCACTGCTTTCAACCTAAGGTTAGGTTTGTTACTTACTTAGTACATGGGGTCAGTTGTACTGATACTACACTTCTGCATATTGCGTGCAGATGTTAGCTGTTGTTGTTGTTGTGCTCGATGATTGTCGGATTTGAAGATGTGCCTGTGTTCCTGTTGTAGCTGCCTCTTGTTCATGGTAGCCTTAGATTTATAAAAGCTCGGTTTATGTACTATTCAAACAGAATATGTATTTATTTCATCTCCGCTTTGTAAACTTTATTCTTAAAAACTCGTGATTTGTACTACCAATTCTTGGAGAATGTATAAGATTAAGATCTTTATTTACTTAAATTGCTTTAATAATTATTATTGGAATTGAATAGTTGAAAATTGGCTTACCTAGCGGGTTGGGTTAGATGTCATCACGACTAGTTAGATTTTTGGGTCGTGACTTTCACGAAAGAAAGAACCAGACTGAATAATTTAAGCAAGAGTAGTCGAATAACACTATTTGATTGATTGTGCTCCTATAGACATGATATCTTGCTATTTAAGATTTTATTTGAGTTGTGTAAGACCCTATTGGTTGTTTGACCATAGTCGACGTGCTGATAATATCCTTTTCGTTTTTTTTGTCTCAAACTGTAGCTCATTTTATTTGTATATACAGAATATTGAATGTATTACCTATTTTTGTTCCCACTTATCAGTATACTTTTTTACGCTCATGCGTTGTTGGAATTTGCAGCGTCGGTGGTGCTTGATATGTCATTGTGTGAGAACATTTATATTCTGATCTGAATTTCATTATTCTGAACTGACAGTTCCATCAGTTGAAAACCAAAAGCGCACTATTAACTTATATTGTTTAAGTCTCAACCATATTTATCGCATTAGAACAATTGTATAGGATGAGATGCTTATACGTTAATAAAGTTGATATTGAAATAAAAGAAGTTTAAAAAAGACAACAATGAAAAAGATATGTGGCAGTTTTCTTTTATCATATTATGTATTGAGCAAGTGTTTGCACTAACGACGAGTTTGAACTAGTTATCTATTTATTCTATATTAAAATCACGAACACACAAAATATCGTTCGTTTTTTTTACAATAACAATAACAACAACAACAATAATAAAATATCTAGTGTATTCCCACAAGCGGGGTTTGGGAAGGGTAGCATGTACGCATACCTTACCCCTACCTTGTGAAGGTAGAGATATTGTTTCCGAAATACCCTCGGCTTAATAAAGCAACATCACTATAGTTATGACAAAGAACTATGGAAAGCAAAATAGTAATAACAGTCAAAAAAAATAAAAAAATGAAGCAAAGGAAACCTCAGGTAATAATATTAGTACTACAACTATGAAAGGACGTATAGGTTTGGAAAGGATACGCTCGATCACTTACTAACCTACAACCCTAATCATCGACCTTCACACCCTCCTATCAAGGATCATGTCCTCGGTAAGCGAAAAATATGACATATCCTATCTGATCACTTCTCCCTAATATTTCTTCAACTTACCTCTACCTCTCCTTGGACCCGCCATAGCCAACCTCTCAGACCTCCTCACTAGGGCATTTGTGCCTCTCCTCTTTACGTGTCTTTAACCATCTCAGCCTCGATTCCTTCATATTGTCCACCACACAAGCCACTTCCACCTTATCTCGAACATCTGCATTCCTAATCTTATCCCTCCTAGTATGACCACATATCCATCTAAGCATCCTCATTTCCACAACTTTTACCTTCTGAACATGAGAGGTCTTGAGTGACCAAAACTCCGCCTCATACAACATGGTTGGTCTAACCACTACTCTATAAAACTTACCTTTAAGTCATGGTGGCGCATTCTTATCGCACAAGACACCAGATGCGAGTCTCCAATTCATCCACCCCGTTCAAATATGATATATGACATCCTCGTCAATCTCCCTATTTCATAGGATTATAGACACAAGATACTTAAAACTTTCTCTCTTGGGTGTGACTTGTATGTCCAACCTCACTTCAATTTCATCCTCTCGAGTCACATCACTAAATTTGCATTCCTAGTATTCTATTTTAGTCCTACTCAACTTGAAACCTTAGATTCCAAGGTCTGCTTCCAGACCTCCTGCCTAGCGCTAACACCGCCTCGTGTCTCGTCAATCAGTACTATGTCATCTGTAAATAACATGCATTAATGTACCTCCCCTTGAATGTGTCGCGTAAACTCATCCATCACCAAGGCAAATAGGAATGGGCCAGGTGTTGATCCCTAATGCGACCCCACCTCTACTGGGAAGTTTCCCGAGTCTCCTTCCACCGTTCTCACCTAGGTCTTGGCTCTATCGTACATGTCCTTAAGTACCCCTAGTGTATGAGACATGAACACCTCTAGCCTCCAAGCATCTCTACAGAATATCCTAGAGACTTTGTCATATGCCTTTTTTAGATCGATGAACACCATATGTAAGTCCTTCTTCCCCTCCATATATTGTTCCACCAATATCCTAGCAAGATGAATGGCTTCTGTCATCGAACGCCCCTGCATGAATCCGAACTGATTTTTAGGAATAGACACACCTCTCCCAGACTTTCATAATGTGGCTTAGTAGCTTGATATCCCTATAGTCGTTCGCCTTTTTACATTTTAAAAACAACTTTTACAATGACAAAACTGTAATTAATATGACTTTAAAATCAATTAAACTTTTGCATCTTAAATCTCTCCTTGTTAAAATAAGTAAGAAGTCCTAACATTTAGGAATTTAAGATCAATAAATATTTCACCGTATATAAATTATACTAATTGAAAATATAAGCTCTGTGTAATACTCATAAAATCAAGATGAGAACGATGGTGACTTCAATTGATTTATAATTAAAAAAAATTAAAAGTGTGGGGACATAAAATCACATATTAAATAAAAATTATTTCATACAATAATATTTAGATTAAAATTATTTTAATGTAGAATAATTAAATATACATTCTTTTAGTCATACAAAATAATTAACCCATGTTCAATTAAGCACCCAAAATGATTATTTGATACTATATTTATTCATACTAAACAGTACAAGCCTAAATTTATACCATAAAAGCACGAAATATCTACACTACATGTTAATTAACTCTTATCCTTTAAATTTTATTATATTGAATAAAAATGTAGTGTAAATATGTTATTAATGATTAAGATTTTAAAATTAATTAATTCTTGTTTATTGAATCTTTTCTTATTTGAACTATGCAGGAAGTCCAAAATGACTTTAAAATGAATTGTATATAAAAAAATGTCTAAACTAATATATATACACACATATTTACTAAATTCAATAATTTCTTATAGTAATTTATTCGTCCTATTAATTTTTCATGTTTTAGTAATATTTTCTTTGCTCACGTACATTTCGACAAAGTTATGTAAATTATAATTATTTTTTTAATTTCTAAAATTTCATTACATGGATACCATTGAAACCTTTGAAGGGAGATAAACTAAGAAGACATATGATTTAATTTTTTAAGTTACATCATTTGATAAATCTTTAAAGAATTATAATAAAAACTTTTGTGTTTGAGGAAAAAATCTTAAATCTTAAATATTCAAGGGCTATGTGTTTTTTATTGAAACTAAAAAGGAAGCACGCTAACTTGTGAAATTAAAATAATAAAATTATAAATTTAGAAACATAATTTAAGGTGGAAATATTGAATAATGATTTAGGACTTTTATGGAGATTATTTTTATTTAGTTAGATATATATGATCAATATTCATCAATTCGAAAGCTTATACTTAATTTTATAACTCAAATATAATTTTAATAATTTATGTAATTTCTTACAAAGATTACTCATTGAGATGGGGAATACTCAATTTAAAAAATAGAAAAGAGTCATCAATGCCCCTAACCTATTGAAAATGGCTCAAAAATGCCCCTAGTTAACCTTTTGGGACCAAAAATACCCTCAACGTTGTTTTTTGGGCTCAAATCTACCCCTAAGATTTAACAGACCAGTCAAGGTCAAATTTATCCTTTAAAAGATACCCGACCCGACCCGCTGACCCAGAATACATACAACCCATTTAACTAAACCTAAAAATAAGAGATTATTCTTCAACAAAATATTCCTCTCTTCTTTCATGGCTTAGACTCGATTCTTGTGTGTGAAGTCGATTGTTGGAGCAAATCTGCATAGTAATTTCAAGGATTCTCTTGAAGATTCATATCCAAAGTCAAAAGTGAGTTTTTTACTATTTTGTATGGATTTTTTTTGGGTTTGAAATTTTTGGGTATCTACAACTTGTCCTTCTAATGCATTTTTTTTTTTACTTTATTTATGTTGGTTGAAGCTTTTAAAGGGTTATTAAACTAGCGTTGGGAGTTATTTATTCATTTGTTGTCGTATTGTTTGTTAAATGTCGTTAGATTCTAATTTTTTTTTAATTTGTGGTACATATTTACTTTCTTTTTTGGCTTGCATGTGCTGGTTTCTGAAGAATGCAAGAAAATGTGGACTTGGATCTTAGTATAATTCATCATAGTGAAACTTACATTGGCTCTATAGTTGCTGGAACTGATTGTGATAGTTCTGAAGAAGAGGAAGGTGATGAACTTGTATCTAGTGATTATTACAGTGAGGAGTTGGAGATGTTTAGAAACGAAAGGACTAAAGAAGTCAATAAAAAATTAGACATGTACAAAGAGTTGGAAAAAGGCATGACCGTTAAAGATATACCTGAAGCTAGAAGAATTATTGGATTTTATGCAGTTGCTAATTCTAAGGGTCTAAAGGTAAAAAAGAGTGATACAAAAAGACTTAGCTATAAATGTGATACTGGATGTCCTTTTAGGTGCTTTATTTCTAAGGATGGGCAAAGCCAAACTTTTAATATCAAGACTTTGAACCAAAATCACGATTGTGATCCAGTTTATCAAAATCATAGAGGTGATTCCAAAACATTAGCACATTACTTTAAGAGAAAAATTCAGAATAATCCTAAGTATAAGATCAAAGATATGAGGGGAGACTTGGAAGGAGAATTCAAGCTCAATGTTAGCAAGTCAAAAATGAAAAGAGTTAAAAGGATTGTATTGGAGAAATTGGAGGGGAGTTACCTGGATGACTACAATAGATTAGAGGCATACGCACAAGAATTGAGAGAGAGCAATGTTTGTTCTGATGTGGTGGTAAATATATCCAAGGAAGCCTTGGCAGAAGGTAAAATATAACGACCCGGCTGGTCGTTTCGAGAGTTATAACCCTATTTTACCCATTTCTACTTCTTTTTATGTTATTCAGCTATATTATATTATATCGGGTTAGTTTGTTCGGGATCGGAGTGGTTTCAGAGTGAATTGAGACACTTAGTCTCTTAAGTAGAAACTTAAGTTGGAAACATCAACTGGATATTGACCTATGTGTAAACGATCTCGAATTTGAATTCTGATAGTTCTGTTAGCTCCGTTAGGTAATTTTGGACTTAGGAGTGCGTCCGGAATATGATTTGGAGGTCCGTGGTAGAATTAGGTTTGAATTGGCGAAATTTGAAAATTTGGCGATTTCGGTCGGTAGTGAAAAATTTGATATATGGTCGAAATGGAATTCTAAAAGTTGGAGTAGGTTCGTAGTATCATTTGTGATGTGTGTGCAAAATTTGAGGTCATTTGGACGTGGTTTGATTGGCTTCGGCATCAGTTGCCGAATTTAGAAATTTAGAAGTTTTTAGGCTTGAATCCGAGGGTAATTTGATGATTTGATGTTGTTTTGAGTGATTTGAAGGTTCAACTAAGTTTGTATGTTGACATATGACTTGTTGGTATTTTTGGTTGAAGTCCCGTGGGCCTCGGGGTGATTCCGGGTGGTTAATGGATTTGTCGAAGTTGAAAAATGCAACTGAAGCTACTGCTACTGCTATTTTCGCACCTGCGGAAGAAAGAGTCGCAGGTACGAGGCCGCTGGTGCGCGTGGGGAATTCGCAGGTGAGGGCAATGCTGGGCTAGGCAGGTTGCGCAGGTGCGAGTTGGAGGTCACATCTGCGAGCCTGCAGGTGCGAAACCTGGGGCGCAGATGCGGAAAGGGAGATGCTGGGCAGGCTTCACAGAAGCGGAGTATGAGCGCGCAGGTGCGAGAATTTGCTGCGCAGATGTGGAAAAATGTGAGGCCAAGGCTGGAGCGCAGGCGCGAAGGATTTGGCCGCACTTGTGAGCCCGCATGTGCGAGGCCTGGAGCGCAGGTGCGGAAGCTGGGGAATTAAGTGGAGTTCACGGATGCGGCGCCTTGACCACAGGTGCGGTCCCGCAGGCGGGGAAAAAGAGCTCGCAGGTGCGAAAACCTGGGTAGAAACCATAAATAGAACACTTCGCGAATTTGGTTCATTTCCACCATTTTCAAGTCGGTTTGTGGAGCTTTTGGAGTGATATTTGAAGGATGATTCAAGGGCTATCAGTGAGGTAAGTTTCTTGTGCCCTAATACTTGTATATATGGTGATTTTCCGTTGTTTAGTCATTGTAATTAGTGAAAATGAGGGGTTAGGGCTTGAGATTTTCGGAGAAGTAATTTAAGGATTTGAAGGACCAAACGATGTCGGATTTTGACGAATTTGGTATGGTTAGACTCGTGAGTGAATGGGCTTTCTAGTTTTGTAAATTTTGTTAGATTTTGAGACGTGGGCCCGGGGGTCGGGTTTGAGCAAATTTTGGATTTTGGTCTAATTTTGTAGCTTTTCCATTGGAATTCATTCCATTAGCGTATATTGATGGTATTGTACTGATTATGAATAGATTTAGAGCATTTGGAGGCCGAGTCCAGAGGCAAGAGCATTGCGGGGTAGAGATTTGACCGGTTTGAGGTAAGTAACGATTGTAAATCTAGTCCTGAGGGTACGAAACCCCGGATTTTGTATCATTCTACTATTTTTAGTGACGCACATGCTAGCGTGCAATGTTGGGGATTGTGACTTGGTCCGTCCCGTAGCAACTGTAAAGTTGCATACTTTGTTGATACTATATGATACTTATATGTTTTAGAAAGAGTTTCTGTAAATTGGGATGAATGCCATGTTTGGGCCTTGTGCCGGTGTTGTTTGAACCCTTAGGGGCCTTTTCTTACTATCCTCTCATTGTTTTCGATTAAAAATCTATATTCAGTCATGGTTATACTTGTTTACTGCATAACTCAGTTTTATGACTCTATTTTGCTGCATATAAATGTTGTTTTGGGCTGAGCGCCATGTTTTACTGAAATGCCCGAGTGGCTTGAGAGGTTTATGACTGAATGAGACCGGGGCCTGATTTGTGAGGATATTTATGGGATCGGGCTGCACGTCGTAGCATGTTGCATATTTATGGGATCGGGCTGCACGCCGCAGTATATTTGATATCGGCCGAGGGCCTGAGTGATTTATGCCATGATTTGGCTTGATATAGCGCTTGGGCTGAAGGAGCCCCTCCGGAGTCTGTACATACCCCCAGTGAGCGTAGGTACCTACTGAGTGCTAGTGCCGAGTGCTGAGTGACTGGGAGGCATGAGTGATTGTGAGGTATGCCCGAGTGGCAAGAGTGATTGTGAGGTATGCCCGAGTGGCAAAAGTGATTGTGAGGTATGCTCGAGTGGCATGAATGACTGTGAGGTTTACCCGAGGGGCTGTATATGAGTGATGTTTTGCCCGAGGGGCTATTTATGATTTCATCATTTTTGCTCACCTTGCATTTTTCCTCTGTTTGAAAACTGTTGAAAAATATCTTTAAATGATTTTTTACTGAAACTGTGTTTAAATGAGATGTTTTGATTCAAATCTTGATTTTAAAAGCATGTGGTATTTTACTGAGATTTCCTTATATGAATGTTATATGCTTTACTACTCGTCGCTACTGCTCAGTCTTTATTTATTATTGTTACTTACTGAGTTGGCGTACTCACGTTACTCACTGCACCTTGTGTGCAGATCCAGGTGTAGCTGGACACGGTAGCGGTTGTTTATTGTTCTAATTGTAGATTTTTCCGGGGATAGCAAGGCAGCTGCCTGGCGATCGCAGCCCCTGCTCTTCTCCCTCTTATTTTTCTCTAGTTGTATTTAGCTATTTTTCAGGCTGAGTTAGCCTTGATATTGTTAGACAGATTATTGTAGATGCTCATGACTAGTGACACCCCGATGTCGGCCTTTTCCTTCAGCACTTTATTTTGATTGAAACTCCTTTACGAAAGTTTTTGTATTAAATAATATTGAAATTATCTTTGAAATGAAAATATCGGTTTGTTTTGGAAATGGGTCAGCTTGCCTAGTTCCACGGTAGGCGCCATCACGACAGGGGTTAGTTTGGGTCGTGACATAAAAGAAGCTTACTTAGGATGTATGTGTGCTTCCAAGCTATGAAACATGGCTTTAAAGATGGTTTGAGACCTTTTATAGGGTTGGATGGCACATTTTTAAAAGGAAAATGCAAGGGGCAATTGTTGATGGTTGTTGGACAAGATTCTGGGAATCATTTCTATCCAATTACTTGGGCGGTGGTGGATAAAGAAACCAATAGGACATGGAGTTGGTTTATGGAGATGATGAAGATTTTATTGGACTTGAAGAACGGTGAAGGGGTGACCTTTATCTCAGATATGCAAAAGGTATATTTTTACTATTATCTCTTCCTTATTTGCTTTAAATGAGGTCCCTATTCATAAATTTAATTTCTTTTCCGCTACTCCATTTTTTAACTATTGCAGGGGCTGCTGGATGCTATTTTTGTAGTGGTTCCTAAAGCAAATCACAGATTTTGTGCAAGACACATTGAAGCTAACTGGGCAAAGAAACACAAGAGGGGTGGGGAGATGAGGAAGATGTTGTGGTAGTGTGCATGGAGCACATATGATGAAGATTTTAAGGATCAACTAAAGAATTTGGGTTCTTTGTCTGAACAAGCAGTCAAAGACCTATTATGGTATCTACCTCAAAGTTGGTGTAGAGCGTACTTTGACACAAAATACAAGAATAATATGGCGGATAACAATTTCACAGAATCCTTCAATTCTTGGATTCTGGAAGCCAGGTCAAAATCTATCATAAAGATGCTGGAGGATATTAGGATCAAGGTGATAGAAAATCCATCATTAATTTTCAGTTTTATTAATTGAGTTAAATGTTATTATGTGACTATTTTGTAATTATTTTGAAAAGGTAATGAATATAATCGGGGATCATGAAGATGAAGCTAGAAATTAGAAAGAAGATATCAGTCCACTTGCAATGAGGTTGTCTAAGGACTACAAGCACATTGCACAATGGTGCAAAGTTATATTTAATGAAGATAATGGGTATGAAGTAACAGAGGGTGTAGATAGGTACACAATAAACTTATTGCTGAAGAAGTGTACATGTAGGGCATGAGACTTGTCTAGGATCCCATGTCCTCATGCCATCAAAGTACTGATTCATAAAAAGGTTGATCCATTAACTGGGGTGCATTGGTGGTACTCTAAGGAGGCTTATATACTAGTTTATAAGCATAAGGTGCAACCTGTTAGAGGTAAAAAATTCTGAAAAGTGGAGTCACATCATGCCATGGAGCCACCACCTTTAGCTAAAATGGTTGGTAGACCAAGGGTGAAGAGAACAAGAGAAAAGGACGAGGCTAGGAAAATGGAGGGGATATGGTCAGCTTCAAGAAAAGGGCTTCGCATGACATGCAGTTATTGTAGTGCACCAGGACATAACATCAGAAGATGTCCAATAGTAAGATGATTTTATATTCCTATTCTAAATTAATAATAACATATTTCAAATACCTAACTTAAATTTCAAATCATGTAGGTCAAAGGAAAGCACAATATGTCTTATGAAGAAACTTCTCAATCACTAGAAGATATTCTTATGACAGCACCTCAAGATTCCCAAGATTCAGAATTTGTGTTCATTCATGTTCCTGGATTAAATATCTCTTCTAATCAATTTTATGATGTTGACGAGATTGGGTGTGAATCTCATCCAACTCTAATGCCCAAGGTGATTTCTGAAGCTAACATTAGGCATAAACAAAGACATATGCTGCAAAATCCTACTGGTACCAGGAAGATCAATTTCATGGGAGATGAAAATGGAGTATATTTACCATTTGATCTGCCATATTCCCCAAGAAAGATCACTTGGGAAGGAAAGCAGCAATGACCCAAACCAATTGGTAGAAGAAAAGGAAAGAAGAATTACAAAACTGAAAGCTAAAAGGGCCATGATTTAGGACAATTAGAAGTTAAATTATTTTGTTGGTTGCGATGATGTTATGTAATATCAATAGACTTATAGACATGTAAACTGATTATCGTTTGTTGTTTTTGTGATGAATCAGTTACGCCAATGGTTTTACTGATTCTAACAAAAATATATTTGTGTCGAATCAGTTACCGCAATGACTTTGCTTTTGTGGTGAACTTGATGTCATGGCGATGACGCTTCTATGGTGATTTTTAGCAGTTTAATATTTTTTAAATTTTTTATATATATTTCAGCAGTTTTGTAGTAAGCATTTTAGTATTATTCAGTTGTTTCTTTGTATTTCAACAGTTTGCTTCGAGTAATGGCACTAACTAAGCTTCAGGCCATGTCAATAGCAGATTAGTTCTTAATCAATAGCAGGTAATTACTTTCTCGGCAAAAATATTACTTCATAAATTAATTGGAGTTTTGGCCGTAAATTGGCTCATAACTTGTCCGCAATTACATCTACTCAATTGGTTGAGCTTTGAGAGGAAACAACATTTTTGGACATTCTATCACAAAAGAATCATTTTTTATGCAAAGATAACGGGAGATTATGTTTTGCTAAAGAATAGTCTCTTGTTTTTAGCTTTTAGTTAAATGGGTTATATGTATTTTGGGTCAGAGGGTTGGATCGGGTATCTTTTAAAGGGTAAATTTGACCCTGACTAGTCTATTAAATCTCAGGGGCAGATTTGAGTCCAAAAAAAACGTTGAGGGTATTTTTGGTCCTAAATATTAACTGGGGACATTTTTGAGCCATTTTCAATAGATTGAAGGCATTGATGACCCTTTTCTGTTTAAAAAATAATACTCGCAATACACTAAGACTAATAATTGTCATAAATGTGTGTGAGAGAAATCAAGTACTCGACTGAAGCTAATCAACTAGTGTACTTTGTACTGTGTACGCACAAGATTATAAGAGCTAAAGCGCAATTGCGTTTTATAGGACAGGCCACCCCTCCACTCTCTTGAAAATTCCTGCAAATTCAAAATATTTAATGTCTTAATTACTTTAAGATGACAAAGATCAACATAGGGGTGGTGGCGCAGTTGGCTAGCGCGTAGGTCTCATAGCTTTACGAGTAATCCTGAGGTCGAGAGTTCGAGCCTCTCTCACCCCAATCAACCCTTTTTTTTCCCTAAAAAGGGCCAAACATGTCCTTGAACTATAAAAAAAAAAAGGGGTCTAAATATACTCTTCATCCACCTATTTTGTTAAAAATGCCCCTTGCTTACCTTTCTGGCTCATTTATGCCCTTCAAACTAACATAATTGTTTATTTTTTGCTTTTTAAAAATTATTTATTAGTGGCGAATTCCTATTGGACGATTTTAAACCCACCCACCCTGACCTTTTCCCTATAACTAAACTTAACACAAAATCCGTTAAAATAAAATCATCTACTTCTTTGAACTTGAAATGGAGTTTATTTTCAAGTTAAACCAATACAAAATTATCTTGTGTCCAACCCATTGAAGAAACTTTTATAAACTTCAAATAATAAACCACACCCATTTGAAATGGTACGAATAGTTAGCAAAAATCAAACAATAGCATAATAATCGAGAGAACAAAAATCATTAAGATAACTAGATTTTTTAGTCATAAGTTCAGTTAGGGGCGGGCGTCGACCGGTTCGGTTCGGTTTGTACGCTTTTCGATTTTTTATTTGGTGCACCAATAACCGAACCAAAATTAGTTTGATTTTTTCGGTTTTTGGTAATTCAGTTCGGTCGACTTTCAGTTCAATTCGGTCGATTTTGAACAAATTACATCAAGTACTTTGCATTCAACTATAATAGCCTTCGGGTTTTGTTTTCAAAGTTTAAGAAAATGGGGCATGTAACTCGATGAAATTAGATGCTTACACGGGCATATTAATGTACAAAATTTTCCATCGTATGCATTAAGGAAAGCTTAACAAGCAAGAGTAAATAAGTAATGATTCCTATTCCACTTCATCTGATGTCTTACAGAAAAAATTGTTGAACACACTTAGTCAATTCAATGACTTGCTGTTCAGAGGTAGAACAACAAAAAGCTTCAGAAATTCCATTTAATTACAGTGTGCAGCACAGTTTGAATCAATAGAAGCCAAACATATGCAAAATGCTTGATAACATGTCAATGGATACATGTAATCCATCACATACTTAGCTTTCCCCCACTCTACCAAGTTGTAGAAACGTCTGCCTTCTGTTCTTCTCCATAGTCAACTGAAAGTTCTTAACTGAGCTCTGGATTCTGAGTCCCGCTCTTCCACTATCTCTAAAATCTAACTCATACTGTCTTGGCACCTTATTGTAATGAGGAATCTTTGAAAACAGTTGATTCACTTTGTCCATATGCTCCTCCCAGTTTGTGGGTAGCCCGTCGAGAAGATTATGTCCTCTATGGAAACTTCGGTTTTTCGGTTTAACCGAAAATCGAAATTGTAAAATCGAGCACCGAATCTAACACCGAAATTATAGAAAACATAAATCGCAAACAAACCGAATAAGCCGAAAAATCGAAACCGAAAAAACCGAAGTTTACGGCTCGATCGTTTTTTCGGTACGGTCGTTATTATGCCCACCCCTAAGTTCAGCATATAAGGTAATTTAATAATAAGTTTCAATCATCTAAGGTAAGGGGGTCAAACGGGCAAGTCAGATCGAATATGGGTGAGTCAAAATTGGGTAATGCAAAATGAATAAGTTATCCAACCCGATGCATATTTAATACGGATAGAAAATGGATTAACCGACGGATAAGATGGGTAACTATATTATTCATAATTTTTTTGAATATGATCACTTTTGGAAAAATTTCTAGTCTCCCAAGTTTGAGAAACACCCAATTTGAGTCTTTATAAATGTAAATGTTAAACTCATTAGTTATCCATTTTCTAAGTTGATAATCTGATTCTTAAGCATATTTGACCCGTTTTTAAAAAATTATTATGCAACCCACTTTTAATGAATAATATGGATGAATAATTGTTCTTTTATCCATTTTGGCACCACTAATTTAAGGTGAGAAAATCACGAGAAATGAAAGAAAACTCAGCAAGTTTTCATGCTTTTTGTTGATCAACTTACTTGATTGTCTATTTTACCTCTGTGAAAATAATTTTCCTCCAATTATTCATATATGTTACATTTATCTTATAAATAAGTATGTTCGAAAAAATTAATTCCAGAGAACAAAAATGTGAAGGGTTTTGGGTCATGGGGCGAGTATGTTGGGTCTGGCTGGGGTGAATTTTAATTTTGTCCATTAGGAATTCTCCACATAATAAATAATTAAAAAAAATTATGTTAGTTTGAAGGGCATAAATGAGCCAGAAAGGTAAATATAAGGGTATTTTTAACAAAATAGGTGGATAAAGGGTATATTTAGACTTTTTACGATATAGTTCAGGGACATTTTTAGCTCTTTTTCGTTTTGTTTTTGTTATAAAATTTAGCTCAAAGTAACAATATAGAACAAGAAAAAACAAGCTAAGAGATATAGAGAGAAAGAGGGGAGAGATTCTTATTTTTTCTTCAATTGTGTGTATTTTCTTATCTATTACAAGACCTTTATATAGGCATGAAAAGTGAAGAAAAATATG